ATTGGTTAAGAAGAATGTGAAGGAAGGTGAGACCGATAAGTGGAGAATTGGCCTAATTAAGAAGCCCGCACTAGAGATCTATCGAACTTTTAAGCAGGAAATTGCCAAGGAAAGGATCTATGATAATACTCGGGGTAGTTCTCTACTGTTTGAGGCCAGGACGGGAGTATTGCGAACCAAGACATATCGGGCCAAATACGAAGAGGTAGACACGGTATGCAGTGCGTGTGGAGAGGAAGAGGAAACTGCCGAACACTTGATAATGTTCTGTAAAGGGCTTCACCCTATAGTTCAGGATGATGGCGCAGAGTTTTTTCAAAGCAATGAGGTTTAGGGACAGAGTGGGCAAAATAGACTTTAAGCGGGTAGAATTAACTAGAAGAAGGTTATCTGAGTGGTGGCTAAAGTCAAGGCACGAGTGAAAATTCAACCATTTACAGCAAAGTACCAGTCCTCAACCTCGCTATCTAAAAAAATAAATCTAGTTTTTTGGTGCACTAATAGGTAGGCTTGCCTTAGGAGCTCAGGTGGAATAGGTGGTGAAATAGGTGGAACGGCTTGGTGGCGTTAGCCACCGCCCGATCTAAAGGGTACAGCCATATCAATCCATCCATCCATCGAATGATATGATGAAAATATCCGAGATGGCGGTACTTGGAGTGTTCACTAGATGGATGGACAGATGGACAGACGCACTGACATACATACATACATACCTACATACATACATAAATACACACGCCCCGCCGCGGTGGTCTAGTGGCTAAGGTACTCGGCTGCTGACCCGCAGGTCACGAGTTCAAATCCCGGGTGCGGCGGCTGCATTTCCGATAGAGGCGGAAATGTTGTAGGCCCGTGTGCTCAGATTTGGGTGCACGTTAAAGAACCCCAGGTGGTCGAAATTTCCAGAGCCCTCCACTACGGCGTCTCTCATAATCAAATGGTGGTTTTGGGACGTTAAACCCCACATATCAATCAACATAAATACACACATACATGCATACATACAGACTGATTTATAGATAGATAGATAGACGCGGCCAGCGAATGATTCATGGTTTGCTGATAAAACCCTCCGGAGCTTCGCCCCACTCGTCATCATTCACTCCGTGGATATGCTGTGATTTTTTTTCATTCGTCTAAAGTTCTTTTTCATCTCTTTCACTGTTTTACATCCCTTTTTCCCTTCCCAAGTACAGGGTAGCAGACCGGGGTCTTCCTCTGGTTAACCTCCCTGTCTTCCTTTCATCCTTTTGTTATCGTAACTGGAGATATTTTTCTTCGAACACTCAAGTGGCCCGAAACTCGGGCGGCAATGCCGCACTCTCGAGCCCTGACATAACAAGCAGCTTGTTGGGCGAACGTATGCATCCCCGCAAACGACTCCGTTCAGTGCTAAGCTACCCGTGCAATTCAGAGCTGTTCTGCTTGGCATTGAATGTGAACGATTCGCACTCCGCTGCAAATTCGATAAAAGGCGATGGCTTCGTTCCACCCAGCCCACTGCGTCATGGTGAAATGTCCGCGAGCGGGTTTCAGAACTTCCGAATCCGTAGGCTTAATTTGAGCCGAAACGTTGTATTCACTGTCAATTTTTCATATACGTGTTAGCACAATAGACTCTTGCTTTCTTATTTCTATGAAAACTTCAAATTCTTGGACTGGACACGTGCGAACGCGCTTCACAATTTTCTTTAGCGGCACACGAACCACATCAACTGTCTAGAACAGACACGAATTTTTCCCTTGGTCATGTTGCGACAATACCGGATATAACACCGGGAATATCGCCGCATAACTACAAAGTGACCCCAACCCGTGGTCACTTTGCCCTACGTACGTGTTTTGGACTCTGCTCACAAAGCCATCATTTGTTCGATTTCACGAGTAGATGGTTCTTTTGATTGCAAATGCTTCGCTTCTCTTGTACGTATGTGGCTTCGACATCAAGTTCATGTTGTTGAGATAGCCACCTCTATAACGCGGCTTGCACTCCTATGTGGTGTTGCGACTCCGGGTCCTGCGGGCCTCAGTTTGGTAGCGGTCCCCCGTCGTAAGAACCGTCATCCAACAAGCCAGATGAGGCGCTCGTAAGAACAACAATTCATTTACATGGTTAGTAACTGAGAATTCGAAACAAGGTGATCAAGTGATCAAGTAAAACGAGAAGTCAAGAACTGTACAGGAGAACTGTTGAACTCAAAATATACAAAAATCTTCCTCTCATATAGCGCCGCGTTGGCAAACCTGGGCGCATTGTCCGCGGCTTCAGCCAATACTGCGCTCGATGGTCTAGCTATTCCAACCGCGAAGGTGGAAAGGCACCAAACAATGCACGTGGAGAGGGCACAGTCTACACGATGCCCAAATATGATCACAAACGCAATGCGCCGAAGTTTCGCACACGTCACCAAGATTTCCCGGGCGTCCGATGATCCTAGATGACCTTGGTTTCCAAGACTCTTCTGGCAGTTGGGTGAGGTTCGAAAAACCGGCTGCCAGTACACATGCCAAACTTGTCTGACTTCGTTCGGGTACGACAATGTAGTGGTCCTCTAGCTTATTGTCGAACATGCCAATCCATTCAGCCGATCCTATGGAGAAAGGGGGAAGCAGGAGTGGTCGACTCGTCGTCCAAGCGGGCTCCCGCAAGGCTGCAGCAGATAGTGCCTTTTTCCTTTCCTTCAACCACACATTCTTAGCTGCGAATTTCCGAGACTTCGCTTGTCCTCGCAAGGTGCAGCCACGACCGGTTTGGGTTTTAGCTTTCAGCCCACTACAAATACCATGCTGGTTCTGGCCTTTCCAGATCCACGGTGACCTCGAAAACGGAACAGCTGCCTCCTTGTTTGCCTCGAAACCCTTGCATAGAGTCGAGCTCACAATGGACTTTCTTGGATCGTGCGTTTTCATTGCGCGAACTGGTCCTGCACCCCTTGTTCACGTTCTGCAGACAGAAAATGTACCCCGCAGGTGGTCGAAATTTCCGGAGGCCTCCACTTCGACGTCTCTCATAATCATATGATGGTTTTGGGGCATTAAACCACACACATCAATCAAATCATCACACGTACTGGACATGTATTAGTTGGCTGTATTTCTTCGTGAATCGCGTGCAATAGGGCGTGGTTAGGGCACGCCGCGACCTGAAGCAGCCCGAGGGTGAAGATCCTGTGTCATGCTTAATTTTCGGTGTGACCGCTTGTGGTAAAGAAACGGTGCGTGGTAAATGCACCCAAACTAGGCATGCAATGACGCTTGCGATGAAATAAGTGAGACGACTGAAATACGGCCGTGGATCTGTGTCGGAATGCCAGCGCTAGCACATGCAAAGCAGAGATACGCCGACAAGACGTTTCGACATCTAACGGGCGTATCTGGCACTGAGTTGGCTGTGCAGTCGCATTTTCCCCCACGTGCGAGGAAATCTATTTTTAGACACGGCAAGCAGTCGCAAGATAAAACGATAGAAACACTGTGCGAGCCGAATGACTTTTCGATCGTGGCTGAAAATGGTCACGTAAACACCCAATAATTGGTGCAAGTTTCCCAGTGGCACTGCTGAGTGTGTTCCATGTAACATTTGGAAACTTGTCCCAGGTGTTGGCTCATTCTTACTTTCAAAATAGTGAGTGAACCTAGCGAAAGCTATTTGGGAGCGCCTGTAAGTTGGTTTTTTTAAGAATGCTTTCCCACGAAACATTCCAACGAATGTGTGTGAGCAGCATGATTTTTTTTTTTTTTTCAGAGCACTTTGAAGAAATATCTCAGGTCACTATTAGTAGCTTGTGCACATGAGAGAACTGAACTTGCGGAGATTAGTTGCGAGCATAAAACATATGTCTTCTGGTCTCTGATCGAAGCTGTCAGTGTGGAAAGCATAATTTAACATGCCCACGCATGCACGGTGGCTATTTTTAAAGCTGTCGATTCTTGTTTGGACGACCAGCGGGGCTTCTAATCAGTCGAAGCACTGAGCAACACTCGCGGTCAATCTTTCGTCTCTAACACTGACACGAGCTATTGGCAGCAGCCGACATGGTGATTAGCTATCATGTATAAACACCGCGGTCCGTGGTCAATGTCCAGCGGAAGTTAGTGTTCTTGACTGCACGCTGTAGATGTACAAGCTAACATGCGCGAGATATACTGAAACCCCAAACCCATGCGGCGCTGAACTGCGACAGTCATCAAATTATCGGCAATTTGCAGAATTCGATATAGGGGGGGGGGGGGGGTATTTCACGAACTTTTATACAAAAAACGAAGCTAATTTGCACGCACAGGTAAAGGCCCCACCTCATAATTAGTCTTAGCAAGTTATTTGCAATTTTTTTTTACATAGTCTTCTTTGTCGCTCGATGCTGTTTTTGCCGCTTCTAATCCCACTGTAGCTAACAGAACAACAAATGTTATCTTTTTGAAACACTTACTAAAGGGGTACTTCTCATTGCTGACTGTCAGTCTAAGCATCGTTAACAAAGAAAGTGTAGTTCGTGGGACACACTGTCACTGGTGGCGGCTAACGCACAACGAGCAAGAAAGGTGGAGCGGTACCTTACCGTAATTCCGTACAGTATTTTACGTAACCCCTTGAAAGACTTCAATGTGCGAGATTTACGCAAGCCACGACTCCCTGGGAGATTAACTCTCGCAATCACTAGTTTTCGCCTATTCGCTGGCCTCGATGGAGAGGAGGCCGATTCCGCGAACATACAGAACGACGAAACGAATGCGAACACACAACGCGAAGGCTCCACCTCGCAATTAAACAGCGTCGCGCGCCGTTCGGCCGTTTCGCAAGAAGCGATGGGGTCGCGCCGCAACAGAAAAAGCGCAAAACCGTGCGACCTTGGAACCCACAGCGCAGCACACACGCTAGCGGCCGAGCACAAAGAGAGAAAATCCAGCCAGGCCGCCGTCACATGTTGGCTTTGAAAGCGGCCGCAGCAGCCGACGGCGGAGAAAAACAAGGGGGACAGGGAACGACAAAACTGCTCTTTTTCTATACACAGTGGCGTTTTATTGGCACGACAACGCCCGAAACGAGCACCGTTGTAGCTGGCGGCGCTAAGGCGTCCGTATTATTCACCGGGTGGTGGCCGTTTGTGGCAGTCGTTGTGGGTGGTGACGATGGTTGAGAGATTCACACAGGGAGGGGTCCATGTACTATGTACACACACAATAACGCACGCACTTGAGGCAAGTTCGGGCAAGTCCGCACGCGTTTCAACAAAGTGGAACTGCTAGCGGTGCACAAATAGTGAATTTTAGAATCGAATACGAATCGAATAATATTCGAATAGCAAGGCAACTATTTTTGAAACATGCCAAGAATTATACATGAAATCTCGTCTTTGAGCATTTTTCGTCGTTGTAGATTATTGAAAAAAAAATATTAAACACTCGGGATTTTAAATACAATTACTCGCACCAAATAGATTGCTATTCAATTCGTCCTTTCGTACATAATCATTATATTTGAAATTTTAATTTTCGAATATTCGCACAAGCCTAGCAATTAGCGTCACATCGAAGACGGGACACGTAACACGATGTGCCTAGGGCGCGTACGACGACATCATGATCTGACAGCCCTGTTTGACGTGCGTCATCACCTCCTGCTTGAGCCGGCACACCTGGTCGCGCAGTACGCTCACCACAGTCCCCAGCTCGCTGTTCTCCGTCTTGAGCGCGTGCACTTTCTCTTCGAGCCGCGAGATGCGTTCCAGCTTTCGCTTGCGGCACTTCGATGCCGCGATTCGGTTCCTCAGCCTCTTGCGTTCCAGCTTGATCCTCTCTTGGTCGCGCATGTCTATGGGCGACAGCGGAGGGGTAGCTCCGAGCCGCGGCACCGTCTGGGGCTCGTCTTTGACGTCTCCGCCCGTCGCCGAGTGCTCCGAGGACGAAGGTAGGATGAAACTGTCGTTTGAGGTCGAGGCGCCCGAGTCGGACATGTCAGGGCCCGACGTGATTTGCTGTTGAAGCTGCGGCGGCTGCTGTTGAGTCTGTTGCTGCTGCTGGTGTAGCTGAGCGAGCGCGTCCACGAATCCGCGCGCGTACTGCTCCTGTTCCTCGGTCGCCGTGCGCGAAAAAAGCGTGGTCGGAGTCGGCGTCGGCGTGGTCACCAGCCCGTTCTGGGCGATGATCAAGCCGCTCCAACTCGGGCGAAGCCAGCTGGAGCATGTTCAGGTCCGGGGAGGTGAGCAGACTCGAACAGCGGGCCTGTTTGCGCTCGGGTCGGCCCGCGCTGTTCAAGTCCAGGGTCATGCTACGCTTGCGCGAGCTCAACTCCTCCCGCCTCGACAGCTGCTGTTGCTGCTGCTGCGCTGGCTGATGCATCGTGGTCGGCGGGCGCGCACTGTTGCCTCCGCTACTGTCCTCGTAGAAAGTCGTATCCATGGCGCTCGGCCGCACCCCACTCTGTCCAGCGCGTTGTCTCACGCACACACCCTGCTACAGAAAAGCACGCCCGTACGTACCCTCCGACACGGGTGTGAGTCACGCGCAAATTTCCCCCCCGCATCGCCTTTATAAACGGGTGACTCACCGAAATAACGCGTTTAAGAGCGTCACTTCCGCCTGACATCACAAAGAAGAGTTGCGATTCGCGAAACCTGATTTCGTAATGTTCACGTGGTCAATGTCGTCACGGCCATGGTTGTTTCCAGGAAGAGCGGAAACGGTGAGAGTTGTTTTCCTTCACACTTTAGTAGAGAAAACAAACTAAAAAACGCGCGGGAGAAATTTTTACTCTTGGCGCTACAGTCGCTTGTGACCTTAAACGCACTACTTGCCAAATAGCGCAAAAGTTTATGCGTAAAAAAACAAATATACAAAAGAACTAATTATACAATTTTTATAAAGAAGTGTGGCATGCTGTAACTAAGTCAATAAAGTTACATAGTAATAATTTTAACGTTTTATCACGAACGATTTTAGCGCTGCCTTGGCTGACGCGGCGGCAATAAGCGAAGTTTACTTCATGGCGACTGCAACATTTCTACTTACAATACGATAAAACTTTCGTACTGTTTGTTGTTTGCGTGGGCAGAGAAAGCGGACGCCTTTTTTCCGGTTCGAAATTAGCGATCACGTCATTCTCCCCGCAGTGTTTACGCTCGATCCCGCTCTTGCTTCTGCTATGATCCGTACAACAGCTTTACGACCGCGCGCTTAGGAGTTGTTTTGCGCGCATATGGGACACACGTACGTACCTATGCATGAACGGGCGTCAAACCGTTCCGTTGGCTCCGTCATTGGAACTTTCGTTCGAAACGTCGTGAAAGCATACCCAGGGAGTGAGGGCTCGAATGCTAGTAGTAAATCTCGTATGACTACCGACGAAAGATGGGGCAGATGTTCGCGAGTGCCGCAACTCATCTCGCAGGGCAGCCAGCCTAGAGAAAACACTTGTCAACAAAACGGTGCGCAGAAAGCCGAGAGTGCTTACTTACCGGGCAAAGGAAAGGGACGCACTCAGGGTTTCTGCCAACGGCTGTTTCTTTTGAGCGCGTCCATCTGTCACTCTAAAGTCATCGTAATAAAACGAAATATGAGGTCGACATTAATAATCGTGTTTAGGACAAACGTTGGACGATTTAGAGTATGAGTAGTCTGGGATAGCAATACGATGTCCCGGCAGGATGTTTAGAATAAGTTCTTAACGATTTAGGGTACTTGGTTGGGGAGCAATACGGGGGAGCAAAAAGCCATCCTGTGGGTATTTCATGACATGTGTTTAGAAAAAGTAGTTAGCGATTTAAAGTACTTGGTACTCAATTATGGGAGAGCATAATACCGTTTCCTGAGCGTTACACTCGATGAGGCCAAACACGGGGAATTTGCTTAGAAAAAGGTTATTTTATCGTGGGACGTAACAAACCTATGAAACGAACGTGTGTACAACAAGCACAATACCAAACGAATGACAAAGCACAACATACATGACACATTTAAGCAAAAATGTCCAAGTCCGTAAAGCGTTCCTAACACATGTTACTAATGACTACATACACCTTATATACACACTAATCAAAATATGGACAATGTACATGATGATATATGTACAGAACATACAAGACTTGGTGAAAATGTTACCAAGTGTAAACAACAGGTATCGAGATTCGCTCAATCCACATCATTACAGCGTTAGAATGGGGTGAATATGTACAACATCTCTTTTGTCTGTCACCTATTACGATTACTTGACCTGTCTCACTTTTTGCAGAGGACAACAAAAAGTGGATGTGGTTCACATAGCCACCATACAGGCTCGCGTTTGTGTTGCAGGTTTTTACGTTAAAAACTTAAACTTCTGAGCGAATATCCTGAAACATTCTGGCATCACATTGTGCCAAAGCTAATATGTTGTACAATAACGACAAATCTTTATCTAACAATGTTCATAGCTTTTACAGAAGCCAATCCCTCTCTCTACATATTTTATTCAGACTAGGCGCCGGGAAGCATCTCGTGGCGGCCATAACAACTGTAGAGAGAGAGACTCAGAGATGTTGAGGGAAGGAAAATGCGCAAGTTCGGCGCTGACTGCGCTCAAATCAGTTGTTGATAAAGAGGGAGAGATTTCTAGCTGACATTGAGAATCCGCCTTTTCTGTTTTATTGTGCTACCCTTGACCGTTTTAGCATAGGCCAGGCATAAAGTTAATATACAGAATCTAAAGTAAATGTTTCACTAAGGACCGGATGGGTGCCGCCATGATGGAACGACACTCGGCTTTCAGCTGGTCTCGCTCGCCACTCCATGCTGCAATATTCCCTGACATTTTTTTTTTTTTTCGTGATTGTTTCATCGCAGTTAGAGATTGTTACACAAAATCAAGTAGTTGGTTCATGGCAACAAAAAATACGAATGACGTGACACTGCGATCCCCACGACGCGCGAGCAAGCCGGAGCAACAAGCCGCACGGCCACGTCCTCCAATATTGATAAAGTACGAAGATGGTGGCGCCATCTAGTAAACAAAATTTAAAACGCTCCTTTCTGCGGAAAGTAAATTGCATAAATCATCATTTCATCAATCACATCTGTCACAAATTAAGATGGACAGTCGGAAACGCTTGAAATTCGCATCGTATAATTCCAAGAAACTCGTTATTACATCCTAATAAAAAAAATGAAGGAATGTGTTATTGTTTTGCGTGAGTTTCAGTACTTAAAGTGAATGAGTGGCTAATTAGTTCATTATTCTACCACCAGTCAGCGTTAGTACTTGCATAAAAAGGATTAACTATTGGGCCTGAATTACAAGCACAGGTTTTGTTTTGTTGTATTCGTTGCGAGCGCAGAAAAAAAAAGAAAACTTTTCACGTTTGTCGCGGCACGTACGTCAGGCGATTGTCGAACATGGTTGTGTCTGCAGCAGTCATCCTCTGCAGTAAGCAATGCGCAGCACAATGTGATTAAATGATCGCTAGTTGCCCACTCGTGAGGCCAACAGGAATGTGTTCACTGAGTTTCAGACTATTTAATTGAAGAAACAGGCGACGTGTGACACGCCTTCGAAGGTCGCGTACACGCCGTGACTGAAAGGGATAGCAATGGTACTTGAGGTTTTACGTCTCAAATTCAAGATATGATTACGAGAGGCGCCTCAGTCGAGGCCTCCGGAAATTTTGTCTGTCTGGTGCTCTTTAACGTGCACTGATAGTGCACAGACCATGAGCCTTTGTGTTCACAATCCGGTCACCTTCAGGTCAGCAGCCGCGTAGCGACTGTGCACCCAGGCCTCCTTGGTTCCATCGAGGCAGACGCCATTGCATCGTCCCTAAGCAGTTGATATAAACATCACACAATATATCCATGAGATTACAATACGTGAACCCGCTTCCATATGAATTATATTGCGAGAATTTGACTGTTTTCAAACCACTATATATTTAAGTATTCTGTAAATTACTGTAATGCCAACAGTGATATTGCATATCGCTGCTCGCGTAGTTACAGCTTTGTCGGCCCTGCTTTTCCTCGAGTCTGTTACACTAACTCTGTGGGCCCCGCCGCGGTGGTCTAGTGGCTAAGGTACTCGGCTGCTGACCCGCAGGTCACGGGATCGAATCCCGGCTGTGGCGGCTGCATTTCCGATGGAGGCGGAAATGTTGTAGGCCCGTGTGCTCAGATTTGGGTGCATGTTAAAGAACCCCAGGTGTTCAAAATTTCCGGAGCCCTCGGCAACGGCGTCTCTCATAATCATATGGTGGTTTTGGGACGTTAAACCCTACATATCAATCAATCAATGAACTCGGTGGGGCCAGGACAGCCGGTATCGCTTGAACAAAAGCTCCGATTCTGGGTCATTGGCCGAGCCCATCCTCAGCCCAGAAGGCTTTGATATCTTTGCTGCGCTTTTTGCGAACAACTGGCCTCAGATACATACTTTAGTGTCTTATACTCTTTGAAGTTGCCTTTCCTCTGTCACAATTTTTTTGTGATTTCTCTATCTCTTCGCAACATTTCTATTTAACATCTTTTATTCTCCTCATTTTTTTCCCTAGAACAGGGTAGCCAGCTGGTCTAAGAACTGGATAACTTCCCTGTCTTTCCGCTTAAACTTTCTTCCTCCTCCGAGACCGAGACGTGGTAAAGCGCTAGGAGAAGGGCGCCTATGCGGCGGGGCATCGTGGAAAAGGCGCAGTTTTGCGCATGTGCGAGCAAGTTTTCACCAGAGAGCCTAGTCGACCACAGATCTGCTTGCAGGGGAACTATTTTTTCCCCATAAAGTTCTGCTTTTCATTGCAAGAAAGGGGCGGGGGGGGGTGGCATATACAATGAGCCGTGACATTGCTGCAGTAAAGCATTTGTGGTGCTCCAACACTAGGGTGGCTAGAATGGGCTACCAACACCTTCGCTGGAATGTGGAGGGGAATGTGGCGACCACCTGCAGGCTCCGAAGCTTAGCTCTTTCATTTCTTCGCGTCTGACGCGACCACCACTTTTGCAGCACACCCCTCCAACTTAGCGTTTTTCTTTCTTCGTTTTCAACTCTCCGAGAACAAGTGTTGAATCACTACCACCTGACTTGAAGGGAAGCGAGAACAGAACTCCTCAGCTGCTTTAGAGTTTTTTGCTTTTCAGACTGCGATTATCAACAGAGACACGCGCCACCACCAGCAGTTGATGTCACCACTGACCTCTTTAAAACTAACACGCCTAGGATGACATGGCGCCTTTGAAAAAGATAGGTCCTCCTATCGAAACGTCGGCCACCCAGTCTGAGGCACTCCCACTGTTCGTCTTATGATTATCCCACTACGTTGTTTCCATCTTTCAGCTCCCACCCATAGAGTATGTCCCATTCCACTACAACCTTTTCGCGGCCCAGCTAAAGTGTTCTACTCTATAGCCCAGCAAGATAGGCTCCGAGCAACCGCTAGATGGCACGCCCATGCTCGCTCCTGCTCGGACAGGCGACAACAGAAGTCGCCCGGTAGGTGTTCTGTGGGGATGCTGACACCAACCAGCCAGTGGCACATGTGCGGCAACACCTGGCACGATACATCACTCGACGGG